TCAGCAACGTATTTTTGGAAGCCAGGGACTCTGCCTGTTTTCATAATAAAGCCTAAGACTGTCCCAATGGTCTGAATATTTGGGATGGAGGCAATTAAGTCGGACAACATCCAGGCTTCGGTGCCAATCCAGACTTTCTTGCTCAGTCCCATCCTGATGCTGTGTTCCAGCAGGGCCTGGGCTGGCTGACTAGAGGCAAAAAGGACAATGATGTTGACATTGGTCATGTTAATTAACCTAATAGTATCTTCCAGTTGGTTTTGGGCTTCAGGGTCTGCAAGGTCTGTAGGAATTAGCCCCTCGAACGCAATGCAGATGCTGTGATTTCCAGCTATACTTAAGAAGAGCCCTTGTGCTCCTCTGCCATATTCATCATCACTTCCAATGGTGGCAATCCAGTTCCATTTAAACTTTTTCAGCAGCAGGACCACAGCTTCCACCAAGTTCTTATCACTGGGAACAGTACGGTAGAAGGATGGATACAACTCTGTGTTGCTGAGCTTCTCACTGCTGGCTCCATAGCTGACCTGCAAGTTAGAGGATAAGAGAGAAAGCGAGGCAAAGAGTGAAGTTGAGGGAAGTGTTCACAGTCCAGATCACTCTCCACCTTCTTTGCTTAGTCTCAGTGCCCTAGCTTTTAAAAAATGCTGGGTCAGGATAGTGGGAAGGAAGAACTCATCTAAAGGGAGAGGTCCATCACCTATGATCATGGCTGCATTTACTAAGAGAACCGTAAACTTTCAGTTGCCTCTGGTAGGACTGTCCCACATGGTTATCCCCTTCCACTGCCACTTGTGTCCATCATCACAGTATCAGCCCTTATCATGAATGACAATGATAATTATCTACTTTGTAGAAAGGGTGACGTACACAAGATTCACTAATATCTTAGCTCAGGGCTAATACTTACCTGATCATTATAGTGCGCTCTATTGTGGTAACTGAGACAGTCATAAATTTATTTTCATGGGATCCTCCCAGTTTTACACTGGGAGCTCTGCTATTTCCATTTTACATGGATCACAGAGCAACCTGAGTTATCCCTCTTCTTTCCAGGTGTTTAGGCACTAGAATGTGTTCCAGGAGGGAAGTTTAATGACCTACCCACACAGGAAATCTGTGGCCGAGGAAAGACTGGAATCCATGCTTTAACAGTCTTGGTTCAAAGACATAGAGCATAGACAGCATTGTTGATCCAAACCCTTCCCCCACCCAGAAGGAGAATTCTTGCTTCTCCAGAGAGTTTCTTTACCTGTGGAATCAAGAAGAAGCTGAATAGTTTGGCCGTTACCAGGCAGAGATCTGACTTATGTGGTCCAATCACAGCAGTCACACGAGGCTGATAGTCGGTGTAGTTGCACAGTACTCCAATGCCCCTTGTGCCATTTTGGGTCAGAAATAGCAAGCTGGGCTGTAAGGCTGCCACTGGCTCAAAGCAGGTGTCATACATGTCATAGCCCAGCTTTACTCCCGGGAGAAGTGAAGTGGAATTGTTGATCTGATCAATAGCGAACTTCATCCCAAGAGCCCATATTAGTCCATCCACAAATACCCTGCAATAAGAGCAAACGAGGAATTACATGCTTATCAGTGCTGTTACAATGTTGATCAGCTTATTCCGCATTCTTGGACATTTCAGCATCCTGTCTGTTGCTGAGCCACATATACATAGCACTGTCAGCAGAGCATCCCTGTACCTATAGCCTTTGTAAATTTTATACTGTGATTAGAGGGGCTCTGAGCACCTTTCAAATCTAATCGATCTTGTCTGTCAGCAAATACACCCTCTGTGCTTCACAGAAGAAGAAACAGAGAGACCAGTATGTATAGTTGTGAGGGTCAAGATTCAAATGACCTCCTGCTCTTAGCTTTGTGTACTTCAGCCGTGAAGCCAGTGGTTCCCAAAGTGCTGTGTGTGCTAACTGAGGTGAGATATCCTTTCTTCCTGGGATTTTCCTCCACTGTATAGCTCAGTGCACTGGGCATATTCCCTGCTTCATGGCCTGCAAAGATGGAAAGATTGTGGGCCATACTTTTCTGTGCTTTGTTGCTGCCAAAGTAGGTAGAACATGAGCATGTCTTTTCATTCTCCTTACAAAGAGCTGTAAAGAGCTGAAGGACACTGAGGAGCTGAAGCATGTCCAAAGGGCAATAAAGCTGGTGAAGGGTCTAGAGCACAAGTCTTATGAGGAGCAGCTGAGGGAAGTGAGGTAGTTTAGCCTGGAGAAAAGGAGGCTCGGGGGAGACCTTATTGCGCTCTACAACTACCTGAAAGGAAGTTGTAGCGAGGTGGGTGTCAGTCTCATCTCCCAAGTAACAAGCGATAGGACAAGAAGAAATGGCCTCAAGTTGTGCCAGGGGAAGTTTAGATTGCATATTAAGAAAAATTTCTTCACTGAAAGGGTTGTCAAGCATTGGAACAGGCTGCCCAGGGAAGTGGCTGAGTCACCATCCTTGGAGGTAGTTGAAAGACATGTAGATGTGGCACTTAGGGACATGGTTTAGTGGTGGACTTGGCAGTGCTAGGTTAATGGTTGGACTTGATCTTAAAGGTCTTTTCCAACCTTGCTTCTATGGTGCTATAAGTAGCTTGTAATGTGATGGTATGAACCACCTTGGTGTAATTGAGTAGGAAATACTGATCTTGACTCTTCACACACTGGCAAGCCTGCAAGCCAGGTGATTCCATTTCCTGCTTTTCCTTGTGCACAGTACTGAGTGTCCTTTTACCTCATAAAAGGCAGTAGCGCCGTCTCAACATGTGTCACCTGCCTGCGGAGTGCAGTGCATGCTTATTAGTCCATGTAAGCATGAGCAGCATTTACACCTTTGCGTTTACGATTCAAAACACTAAATCACTGAAAGCTTTCATCAGAGAGGTTGGTTGCATCTGAAGTGTGACTGCATAGTAGCATCAAAACACCACAAAAACACTTTCTACTTAGGGATCAGAAACTGATGGCACCATACACCACTACTCCAGCACCTTAGAGCTAATCTTCATTTCCATCTCACCTTTAAAGTTCAGCTGTGAGACCATCAGTTGCTGTCAGGACTACTTTCTTTTCCTTTATCTTCCCAGCCCAAGTGACCCAACTGAACATATATTAATGAAGCTAACATTCCTCTTACCTTTCACACACAACTAACGTGGGCTCTGATCGTGCCGTCAGGTTTACGGTGTCCATTCCAAAAGGGAACAAGCCTCCTATGATATAATCACCGGGTCTTCTAAACTGAGCTGATAGGCATGTGGTTTTGAGGGCTGCTGCATAACCAAAGCTCAAGCACAGCAGCAGGTCAGGGACCATTATTTGTCTATTTTGGGGAAAATGTTTCAAATAAATCTCCGAGCGAACATGGGAGAGGGAACAGGGGCAGGGGATCCAGTCTCAACAGTTACTGGGAAAGTGTCTTTAAATAGAACTCGGAGAGATGAAAATAACGGGGAAGAATTTGTTTAGCAAAATTCATTAAATGTGTAACTCTGTGCTTATTGGGCAATAGTCAAATATGCAGCAATACCCTGTGACTGCACTTGGTTGCAAACCACTGGCCTAATCCTGGTTTCCTTTACTCGGTGAGTAGCCTTTACTGAATTCATTGTCACAGCTCTGGAAAGTGGACTTCCTGGGGATGGGTGGTAAACTTGGGTGCCCTGCCCTAATTTGGAACGTCTTTTGCATTAACTGCCCCCCGCCCCAACCAAACGAGAAAACATCTTTAATGGAATGTGTTTTTAGCAACTGTCCCTGTTTACAGTTTTCACAAACAACGGGATTTGACTCGTCTAATGCTGGGAGCAGACCTTAATCAGTGCAGGTCGCTCACCTAAAAGCATTGCCCAGGAGAACGCGCTTTGACAGGAGCAGAATCCGAGCAGCTGAAGTGTGCTTTGTGCAGAACGGTGCCTGTTCCTGTAACACAACCATTACCTGTTAGGAGGCTGAGGAAGAAGAAATTTACTGGCTCACCAGCATTGCTTCCTGCTGTTGTCCGAGGTTCTCCCTGGGTGTCTCTGATCCAAGCATTCACCTGCATGCTCCCTACTTAGAAGCAGCCTGCACCGAAAGAATATCACATAGTTTATTTTTAAATGAACTTCAGAATAATGTGTTGAGTTGCCTGAACTAAGGGGTAGTGGTGAAAGACTTAACACAGTAGTAATTTTTTTTTTTTTTTTTAATTCAAGGTCACCTAATCATGGAGATAACCAAATCTTCCTTAGCGCTTCGCAAGAACTTACCTGGAGCAGGCCATTCCTAGATTGCAAGGTTGGTGAGCTATTAGTCAGCTATATTGTTATTTTTAGGAGGTTGTTATTGGCTGATCTAAATTCTTCTCACACTTCAGTTGTGAGAAAACTGTTACTGTTAACTTCAGTTTAAAAAAACTGATTTAGGTACAAGTTCCACAGCATAATAATTTAGGTTGTGTCATGTTTTGCATTTTTTCTGTCATGTTTGAATTTTAGGAAACAGGATAGCTCTGAATTGTAAAGTTCGATTTACTGCATTTTATTGGTTTATTATATACTTATACTGTATCATAGAAACTGCTTATACTCCCAAAGTGATATACGACTTTTGCTACAAGGCTAGAATATTTTTCCATGTATTAAAAGAAGCAGGTACACAGTAGAAAGCTAAGTATGTGAATAATTCAGGCAAGCAGCAGTTGTAGACTTCTATCGCTATGTTATACAGATATGTTTATACTGACAACCTTTTAAGCATACCTTCCCCTTAATGGACTATTTAAGTGCTAGCTTTAACTATAGAACTTCTTTTTAAAAGTTCTAAATACAAATTCAGCTGCACAGAGGAAGAAAAACACAGCTGTTTGAATGGTTTAGAAGTAACACATAGGCAGTTACTTGCTCCCACCTATACTTTCACATGAAATTAAGTATGCTTACTGTGGCATAGGTTTATGTGTTGGACTTTCATGCAAAATATTCAAACTCTCTCTAATGAATTTGTATGTTGTTGCAGCTTTCAAGTACACCAGTTACTGTAGGGGAAGGTTTTACTCTTCTGAACTTGACCCCATTAGTGAAAGCTGCCAGACTCTGAACTTGCTCACAGCCAAGTGCAGGACCTTGGTTTTTACTCAGCGGTAATTAACAGGGGCAGTTAAAAAGGTTCCCGTCATTTGGAGACAGAGCAGGACACCAGGAAAATAAAATTATCATTAGGCAATACCTTGTTTAAATAAGAGCATGCAGACTGATGGAAAGCTGTATTTTACTTGAAGCATGCTTTGCACAATATGATTGGTTATAAACTTACAACAGTTCTTTTCTGTACTGAGAAAGTTTGATTCTTTAATGGCAAAAATCAAGTTTTCAACATTAGTGTTTATCTCATAAGAGGAACAGTTGAGAATGAATGTGACAAGGGAGAAAAAATTATTTTTCCATGTGGTCATAGTACCATTTCTGCATTAAACTCCCAAGAGATCTAAAACTTTTTTTCACTTGACACACAACATTACTTGACATAATTTAAGGCATTTAATCCACTACACAGATGAAATAGCAGATATATCTATATCAGACAGTGAGGGAGGTCCAGCAAGAGGTAGTCTGTAGTTTGTAACATGGAACTGCTCCATTTTAACATATAGATTTATCCTGTGGAACTATGTAATCATTTTAAGGTGGCCTTAGCAGAAAGGGAATGATATTTGTGTTTTCACAGCATAGCAACTAAACCTCCATTTAGGATGCTCAAGAAAATGACATTTACTTTCTTCAGGCAAAAGATATTGTTGACAGATATGGCAAATCAGAATAGGAACTCAGTACACAGCACCTAACTTCATCTGGGTTACTCCTGACAGTTGGCTTCACATTTGATTACTAGGTAGATGAAACACAGTCTGCTTGTGAAGGACAAGAAGATAACACTGTAAGTTATGTTCCTTCCAACACCACAAAGAAAGCAAGCTTTCCTATAAAGGATACTCTTCAGAAGCATGTTATTCACATAATTTAATGCCCAGTTAGTTTAATCTCCATGAGGTAATAGTGATTTCCTGAATCATTCAGTGTTACATTAGGCCAAAATGTTTTCTGAGATGCAATCAAAACGTGTTACAGCCTGTGAGGTTCTCCCTCCTCCCCCAAATATTCATGTAATCCTGAACTAACAATGTGGTGCTTTTTCAGCTTTCAAAAAGCTAAGTAAACTCCATTTTACATGCTTTGGTGTGTGTGTGTACATACAGATACATACACACACCGGCTATTATATACACTAATTTGCTTAAGCTACAAGCCTCACAAAGTAGTGACTTACAGTACAAGTTGATTTCTCCCCAGACAGAGAAGTAATTTTTGTAGGCACCTGACACATTAAAAAAAAAAAAAAGTTGTCACGAGAACACAATTTAGAAGCATGGCTCCAAGATGCATAAAGATTATCGAGCAGGGGAAGCTACAGAGAAGGAAGGTCTTGCTTAGTAGATCCATGCAGAAAGGAAGAACAGTCTCTTACAGTAATGACATACACCACCATTTCCTTCTTTAATTCTAGGAGACACAGAATTAGCAGCAGTAATCAAATTAGTCTGTGACCAGAAGGATAAGAGCTTCCTTTCAGACATGCATTACTCAGGATTGTATTTTCAAGGTTAAAGCATAACAGAAGGCAAAACCCTCCAGATGTATTCAAGGGAACAGCTTGTAAACAGAAGTGGCAAAGTGAGCTCACACGTAATGTAAATGTGTTCAGATACCACATCTGAAAGTTGTGCAGTCACACCAGGTCCTAACTATTGGTGTAAACACACAGAAGCTGAAGTTGCAGAGTTTGGCTTTAAAAAGATACCAAAACCCCCTACTCCCAGCCTCGCTGGAGAGTTGAAGGTGAATCCCGGAAGGAGAGAAAAAAAATAAATATTAAAAATCCCTTAAGCATGCTAATAGTGGGGGTTTTTTTCCACTGTACAGCCAAGGCTCTCATACACACAATAGATATACATACATACAACAAAGTTGGTACATTTTTTTTTTTCTCTTCTAAAGTGAGGCATCCTGAACAGCTTTGCCAATTTGTCAGCTCAGTACTGGAAACGGGAGAGTGGCCACAGACAGAGAACCGGACACTTGTGCGTCTGTGAAAACACACGGTTTTCACCTGGTTCATCTGGCTTCTGTCACAATGTGGCGTGGCTCTTTAACATCCCTCCTGTCAAGGAAGGTCAAGCAGCTTATGCTGGGCAAAGAGCTCCTGGGTGATGCCATAGACATCGCAGATATAGGGTAAGGCCTCACCCAGCATAGAGACAGCTTCCTCGGGCGTGCCCACGTTCATGATTTCAAGGAAGGCGTTTCGGGGCGGCAGCGTGCAGAAGGCCACTGTGGCAGCCTTGCGAACCACCCAGGGGTGGTAGGTAGCCAAAGAAGCGTTGTAGGAGTCCGTGCAGATGACGGACGTCCGGGAGTCCTCCCGGCCGGTTCTCAGCCCCTCCAGGAAGAGCTGCAGCCAGCGCAGGGCCCTGTGGAGGCGCAGCACGGTGC